GCTATTTGATTCTCAATTTGAAGACACAATATGGTTATTATTGTCCAATTTGGCAAACATCTCAATAGAGTTATTCTTCGAGTTAATCCTTCGTAGCCGATCACAACTCCCATGCCAAGACTTGCAAAAGCGATGAACCATCCTTGAAATGTGCTGAAGGCTTGCAATGTCTTTGATGATAAATGCTTTAATGAAGGTTCGATGTGAAACATGGTTTGACGTATCCAAAGAGTGAAGTATATTGAAGACAAGAAAAATCCCGATATAATTATATCAACAACGAACGAGACATACGAATGATCCAAGCAATCCCAAATTAATAAAAATAATTTTGATATTCCCAATAAGCCAGATAAAATCAAGCAAAATGTCATATGAAAGTTTCTTGTAATAGCCACTTTGTTTTTTTGTTTTTTATACATTCGCTTTTTTACAAGCAATATTACTTGGCAAATTGTTATATAAATTGTCAATATTCCAACCACTACGCGTACATAGAATTCCCATCGAAGACATCTTTCGTGAGGTCCATTCTGAACACTCGTTGTATTCACTACAGAGCAGTTTGTTTCCATTTTTATATTACTTTGATAAACTGAGTTAATACAGATAAGGTAACAAATTTTTTTATTGTTATGAAAACAGGGGCAATGAACCATTCATGATTTGAAATTTGGATAGAAGGAGGATAGACTTAGACAGGGTTTCTAACGAAACACCGGTGACTAACAAGACGCGAGGAAATTAGGTTACTGAGGCAACTTCATGATACATTTCCATTTCTGCAAAACAACATTTTTATAATTTTGACTTTTGATTAATTTTTCAATATCTTCGGCGATCGATTCTTATAGCAGATCTTCATCTAAAATACATGGTATTGCGCAGGCGAAAAGCAGAATACTATAAACATTTTGATGACAATTTTGCGTACGAAGCGATTGCATTATTTTCTCTTCTTAATACAGAACAAGTGTTCCAATTGTAGAGTGCGCTGTCTATTTGGTTTTACTGCTTTTCTAACAAGAAACATTTACTCAATCTCATCTTCTCGGAACGGGTGAGCAAGCAAGATGCAGCCTACAGTAACTAGTAATCCTTCAGCAAAGTTTTTCTATCTTTAAGCGAGTATTTATGACTCCTGTCATATAACTAGGGATAGAATGTAAGTTTGTTATATTTTTTTAATCACTTCCAGCTTGTGCAAACGCATCTCTTAAATGACGACATATTTGTTTACTATAAATTTATATACTACATACACGCCATCCCTTTTTTTCAATAACAGATACGTCAATGTCTTATTTCGTGGGAACATATATTGCGCCATTCGCCATGTATTGTCATATTTCGTGAAGTATATAACTCAATTTTTCTTCATGAATTAAACTGAGTCAGTCGATGGAATTACGTTATAAATATCCAACGTTATAGGGAAAACAATAGGACGTAACAAATATAAGTGAATAGGTATGATTGACTAAAGCTACTTGACAAAATCATAGTCATTTTTTATGGCCACTTTCCTAATAGAAAATGCCCGCAAATAATTCTCAGTATTGATGTTTTCCCAACCTTAGACCCCAGAGAAGTTTTTATTTTTATTTTACCATAGCACAATATTTAAACTGTATTTTTCAAATGTTTGCAACAAATATGTTCCGATAAGCAAATTATCGTTTTACCGAGCATGAATATTTGAGAGCTGAACTGAGTCTCAAATGATTTACAACCTATGTGAAATATTACAATGATATATTATCAGAATGCGCTAGCGTTGTAGGCCCGGCTGAAACTATCCCGTTCCAATTGATTTCGGAGAATTTAAAGTACCTGGACAACAGACACGTATGTGACATCACCATGGATAGTGACAAGCAACTATACATATGAAACGTGGAACGGGCATTCGAGCTAAACGTTAGAAAGTGTGGGTCAGTCTGAGCCACGATTATGAAGCGTAATGTTGCAAGTGCGCGAGAATGAAAATTTAACTGCGCAATTGGTCTAGCGACTCTGCACAATGGCTCAGTTGCGCATCTTTAGAGGGAACATTGGTTGATTGTAATGTGTCTCCGGAAGAATTTTTTTCGTTTTTACATAGAGCAAAAAATGAAAAATCTTTTCTTTCCAATCAGCAAAACAAAACACAAATCATATTAAAAACGATGTTGAAAAGATAAAATGTTCCCGATCCCACGAAAAAGAACAACATGAACGTAAACAAATCTGTAGTAACAGCAACGGCTGCAATTATCGCCGATCTTTTCATAAGATTTATTATATCATTTGGTGGGTTTATCACTGTCGTTCTTCGTAGATTTCTTACGTGGGCGAGCAGAGGCAACGAAAACAATAGTAACATCGCTATTTGATTCTCAATTTGAAGACACAATATGATTATAGTTGTCCAACTTGGCAAACATCTTAATCAAATAATTCTTCGACTTAATCCCTCGTAACCGATCACAACTCCCATCGCAAGACTAGAAAAAGCGATGAAACAGCTCTGAAAAGTGCTGAAGAATTGCAATTGCTTTGACGATAAGAGCTTCAATGAAGGTTCATCGTGAAACATGGTTTGACGTATCCAAAGAGTGAAGTATATTAAAGACAAGAAAAACACCGATATAAATATATCAACAACGAGCGAGATATTTTTTTTTTTTATATAGTCTCTTTTTGAGCAATATTACTTGGCATATTGTTATATAAATTGTCAATATTCCAACCACTACGCGTACATAGAATTCCCATCGAAGACATCTTTCGGGAGGTTCAATCTGAAAACTTGTTGTATTCACTACGGAGCAATTCATTTCCATTTTTATATTATTTTTGTTAAACAGAGTTAGACTACCTAAAATATAGATATTGAAACGAATTTATTTATTGTTAGGAAAAAAACTGAGAGTTTTGGTCGTGAGTTAGTATAAGTGGATTGCGATAAATCATATGATTCAAAATTTGACTAGAAGAAGCATATAATTTGAGGTTCCTAACGTCGCATTGGTGACTAACAACATATGAAAAAGTGGGAATACTTAGGGAACTTTTTGGTACATTTTCATGTAAGCAAAACAATAATTTTAACAACATTTTCATAATTTTGATTCAAAGTTATCTTCTGCGATCGATTCTTATAACATATCTCCTTTTAAAATACATGTTATTGCACAAGCGAGTCAAAGCAGAAGACTTTTAAATGGCAATTTTGCGTACGAAGACATTGCATTATCCGTTTTTCTTCAATACAAAACAAGTGTTCCAGTTGAAAAGTGCGATGTCTAATCGCTATTACTGTTTTTCAATGAACATTGGAGTACATGCGAGAGAGTAAACAAGATGATGCCCACAGTAAATCCAGTAATTCTTTAGCAAAGTTTTTGATAGAAAGTAATTTTGTAGTATTTTATTGTTATTTATTCGAACACTTCCATCTTGTGCAAACACATACCTTCAAATCACGACATATTTATTTACTATAAATTTATACACTGCATTTACGCCTTCCCCTTTTTCCAATAACCGATACGTTATAATATAATAACTTATTCGTGGGAACATGTATGCACCATTCGCCATGTATTTTTGTACTTCGTGAAGTGAAACTATACTGAGTCAGTCGATGGAATTACGTTATAAATATCCACCGTTATAAAGAAAACAATAAAATGTAACAAATATATGCAAATATATATGAAAGATTCTTCATAGTCAATTTCTAGGCCTCATTCGTGATTCCCATTTGACTCCCTATATTTTACCATAGCAAAATATTTGAATTTGAATTTTTGAGTGCTTCCGTGAGTAGACGGTTGGAAATTACTGATTCAAATGTTAAATTTTGGATCAGTGTATGGCAGCTTTTTGGAACTTGTGTTGATTACTGTAACTAAACTCGATGACATAATCTGGGCTAGGATGTAGATAAAATTCGCCAAATGGTGGAAAACGACCGGAGATTTTCTCGAAAGAGCATTATAAAGCCTGTCGCCGAATAAACAAGGTTGAGGGGAAAACAATGGGTACTCCAGTTAATAAACCGATTTAGAGACTCTGCATGCTTAAGAATACTTGATCAATTGTTAATGTCAGATTGTCAGTTAGGTGGTCCCCTACGGTTTCCACACAAAATACATGGTGAATTTGCTTGATATTATTTGGTGTAAAAAAGTAATTATACTGTTGAATCAAGGCGCAGTTGTTGCAGTTATATTATACTGTGGAAGTTAACATCTCAAACCAGGGCTTAAATAATTTTTATATTGTTGTAAAATTTGGAATCTTTTCTGCCGAAAATATTAAAGCTATGTACAAATTAGATCTGAAGTAAACTAATGTTTGCTACGCCCGATTCGAAGATAGATTTGCGATTGCACTGACGCACATCTTTAGTGCAAGCAGGTGCAAACTGCTCGTTACCGAACTGGTCATAACCAAATGAAAGATCAAAACCGTTCGCTCACAAATTGATAGACTTAGACTTATCAAACAGCGTTCAGATTAATAAATGAGCTATCTGAAAAAAGGGGGACTTCCGGAAGTATGCGCATCAAGATGGCGCACAACCTGAACATAGTATGTGTGTACCAGTTAGGGTTCCGGTAGTGCGACATCTTGGTGCGCATACTTCTGGAGCACCAAAAAATGATTATAATATATAATTATACAAATATACAAATATATAATTATTAGATACAATGTTGCTAAATTCTCAATAATATGGTTCCGAGTCTTTTGAGTATATTTTATATGATATCTATGCTTCTAATACCCATTGAGAAAATTTAAGAAAGCCTATTCTACATAGTCATGATGTTGACTAATTAATCATATTAGAATGATATTGGCATAAAATTTTAAACTTTTTGCTTCTTCTATACTCGACCCTGACTTGCAACCTGAGGCAACGTATATCACAGACTAATTAGCAATCTAATAAGCTTTCTCCTATTGCGTGATAAGTATGCAGTCCTACATATAAATTTACTGCTCACCAGAAGCATCTGAAATATCAACATTCATTGCTTTTGCAGTCGCCATATATTTTGCCACTTCGTCGATGTTGTCGGGTGAAACGTAATCTTCGGGCAAGCTGTCGTGCTGAAAAAACGATGCAGATAATAGATATCACCAAGAAGCAATCTTGTGAAATCGAATTTCTAATGCTTATTGGTAAATTGAGAATTTCGATTTAAGAAATTAAGCTGATATTTTCATATTATCGAAGAGCCAGGATCTTGATTTGACACATCCCGAACTCGGTAGCAATTTGAATCTTGGTACCTACTAAGTTTACTGAGTTGAAGTGGATTCAGAGTCGCATGAAACTTTTTATAAAAAATCAAACCCAGAGTTTGAAATAAATAAAACTTACTTTCGATTTATATGAAGAACCAGCTTTTTCACTGATACCGAATTGCATTTTCTATGCAAGAAAGGGTCTACTCTGAATGTAATTAATGATTTATAATAGTACGAGTGATAAAAGATGGAAATCGGTCTCTTTATATACGTGATACGTGTAACGGTGACACTGACGAATAGCATCATTGGTAATAGAAAAGGTTTCTTATCATTTAGTTTAGTATGGAAAAATGGGGGTTTAACCCTTCATTTGGAAGGTTATCGGCAAAATATTTATGATATAATTCTGGGCAATCGTTTGTACCTTTAGCATTAGCGGTTTTGATTCCAATTTATTTGCTCCAACTCTTTCTAAATTCATTCTTCCGATCACAGAACTGCTCACACGGCGTCTGTATCCTTGATTGTTGGGAGGTGCAAGATGAGAACCTGGCTGAAGGTAGAATTTAAAACAAATGGCGGGCATAAAAGCATAAACTTTGAAGTGTAAAAACAACATAAATTCATGACATGTACACTAGAACCATGACAATGTGAGCAAATAATTGGACATACGAGTGATATTTGAAAATTTCATAAAATATCACCAACTGAAGTTGTCAAGCGGCAAGACTTAGTTCACAAAAAGATAGAAATAGAAAACTATTTTCGATCATTTTTAAATATGTTCACCTATTACCAAAGAGAATGAAAATGTGGATCAAAATCGAAGCCTAAATTCTATAGCCGTGTTTCAATGGACGCAAACACCAACAGCAATTTGTTTCCATAACTAAATTAATCAGATATCCCATGTGTCAGGAACATCTAGTCCACTGTGCATACATAATACCAAAGACCACAAGGTGCAACAGAGGTGCAGATCACCAAACTGTAACTGTGTCTCACATGGATGGCATTATGAAGTCAAAATCCATTGTTGTATGGATTGATGTGGGTAATAGCCCTCAGAGAAGCTCGCCAGACAAAATTTTAATGTACTTACCGATTGGCCAACGTTATTTCTCTCATGTCCATCGGCGGTTGATTTTCGAGTGAAAAACGAAGAAGATGACGAGTTACTTTTCGAGAATATAGACTGAGTGGACTCACCCCCAGGCACAGTACCGGTAGACTTCCAGGAGGGCGGTGTCGCCTGTGAATATGAGAAAAAAAACGTTACATTTATACATACGTAAATGAATAGAAACCGCACAAAATTGGTAGATTTTTTCTTCAGTTAATGAGGCAACAACACACCACACACAGTACAGCAATAATTGCCGCCTGATTTAAAACACGGTACAACAATCATCGCTGGTCTGCAATTTTTAAAACAAAGAATTACATTGAATTGCAAGTTATATTACACATATTATGCAGAAGAACTGTTACCTCCGAATTTACTTCATTAAGTTTTGTTGTAGAGAAAATAGCTGAATTTCGTCCAACTGTCTTATGAATAACAGAAGATGAAATGTTTTTTGATAAGCGAAACTGCTTCGCGATAGCATCATCTGTGGTTCCAGTTATTAGAACCTGCAAAATTTCCATTGTTGAAGTGAGTAAGGCGAATTCTTCGGATATAAAATCCGGGTAAAGTTTTGGTGACGAATTTTGTAATAATATAAACTTGTCAAAATAGGGGAAGGAGCTACCAACATTTACGATAACCATCTAATCATTGAGCTGATAAGACCTAAAACCTGAATACAGGTAGAAATATTTTAACGACTGAATCGCATAGTTTCTGTCGGTAACTGACTGAACAAGAATAAACACTTGGGATACTATTGGATCCTTGTTAACCCAAAAGCAATCCAAATTTGGCTTGGATGTGTGATAAGATTGCTGCAGCTTTCGCATTTGCAGGTATGTTACGTTATTCTCTACAATTCATGTTCCTGCATTTGCTTTCACCTTCTGACTAACTCTTTCCAGTACTGACCAGGTATAGTAATAAACAAGATTCCGACAATGTCGGTTGTCTCATTTCCTCTGATTAAAAAGTAATTATTTTGAAACAATTTTCATATTATTCGAACCAACCTCATTTATCTTCGTTTCAAGATAACATGCACATGCTTCATGAAGTGATTTTCTCTGGCTTTCGAGCCACAGATCGTAGGCTGTTTCACGGACGAGAGAATTGATGAACATGAGTTGTTCACATCTGTAAAGACATCGAGAAGAAGAGTTAAAGAAATGAGGGCATATGATAACAAATTGCAGCGCAGCCCGCAATCATAAAGCCGATTGCATAAATCGAAAACGTTCTAAATGTTACTCGTCGTAACAATTCCAAATAGTAAACCAACTTTTTTTACCTTGCTGCAATATCTTCCTCCGCCAATTCTCCTGTATAGTTATGTTCCTCGTCGTCATCCTCGTCATGTTTTAAGTTTGCTCGACAATCACAAGTAATTCCATGCGATGGACGACCGAGCTGTTATTATTAAAATTGAAAGCATGAAGCAAAGGCAAGTTGAATTGCCACTTGTAAAAAGTCCCACCATGAAAAGCCACCTGATGAGAGCCAGGATCGGTGTTAAATTTGGTCTGGGTAGGATTTTATAATGAGAAACTAACTTTCCGAGGAAAATATTTTCTGGGTGGATTTTTCGTGGGAGTAATTTTCCTAGCATCAAAGCGAAAGGCTTCAAAGAAGAATCATTAGAGCAGTACTTTACTGTGACTACTTTCGATTCACCATATGATCTAACTAACAGAATCCGTGGTTAGCAATATAATTATTCGGGTGAAAATAAAACAGAGTATATTTGCTAAATAACATATCCTTCATTACCAGACCAAAATATTGAAATGTTGCTAATTATAAAAAAAAAGGGGGACACAGAAAAACCAGTCTAGATTTCAATTGTGAAAACTCATATTGAAGGCTTGAATTAATAACGGGAAGATCAGAGTCAGAATAGATGTTTCTGCGCTGAGGAACTGCATAAAAACTGCAGTTACCACTTCAATAACTCCGAATGCAATTGGCGATATCAAATTTCGTACACACGGAACTCTAAATAATGAGATAACAACACAAAACGAAAGAGCATATCAACAATAAATATTAGAAGAAAGCACAAGTAAGAAAAAGAGAGAAATCGGAAGCTGTAGGAGAGAATGGAAGAGTATGAGAACAAAAAGAAGAAGGCAAGTGAAAATACTCCAACTCACACTTTTCTGAGTCTCCAGTGTCTCCTTTGCTGTCATAATGGAAGCGCATTGAAACACGCGGAGTCTCATTAACTGAAATATCGATTGTTGGAATTTATCTTTTTGATAACCAGGAACAACTGACGTGAGCATCTTCCTTGAAAAATTTTCACCGATGACTGCAGCACATTTTACAATCAACTGATCATATTGCATCATTCTGTCAAGCCTATATGCAAATAATAGAAACTAATGTTAAATGGAGTCATAAAAGTTGATGATGTCATTTGGGAGGCAGAATTTTAATATATTATGCAAATAATTTTCTATTTAATGCGTATATTATGTCTACAAATATTGATGATTTCTCTATTAGTTGAGATTGTGCGATTTTTAAGGATATGACTACAATACTGGATTGTATAAATTAGTTACATGTTTTCAATATTCTCTATTACAAAAAATTTTAGCTATGAAAAGTCAATACAAACTGGAAAATTGTTTTAAAGTAATGAATTCCAAAGTTTTTATACAACGTTTTCACGCCTTCAATACGAAAAAGTTTCCTACAAGTGGCCTCTAAGATGTAAGAAAATAATACTTTTATTGAAAGTACAGGATTCTTTTTAAGTCGGTATTGCCTACTCGACATAATTGAAGTTCTTGGGAAATAACTATGTATTTCAAATGCAAAATTCTAGAATTAAAAAACAGTTTGGATACGAACATCCCAAGTAATTTTCAGTCGCAAAGTGCAAAGAATTTACATAGCCTAATCCTTTTTTTTTTCTTCATATTTTTATAGTTACACTTTCATACTTTTTAAATAGACAAATTACTTACCTTGCCAAAGCCATACCCCTAATAGAAGCAGGCACAGGAAACTTGTTAATGTCAAAACCAGGCTTTATGATACATTCCTTTAGTTGTTTAGCTTTGTCCATTTGTTTAGCTTGTAGATTTTCTGTTGATTCCTTCAGTTTGCTCTTGCTTTGACTTTTCAAAAACTCCAACAGAGCTGTTAGATGTAAGTACTATACAGTAAACTTAAACAGGGTAGAAAATACCAAGAAATTATTAGTTGAAAAAGCAGAATATGCACACATCCGGGAAACGTTTCTAAGCAAAACATTGCTCAGCTACCTTATCATACATTCAGATTCAAAAGTTCGGAAATATATCAACACTCACTTGTGCTACTCTTGTGCCAAGGCATCTTATCTGCCCAAGAACTCATTCGACCCATTTTGCCATGTCGGGCCTCCTGTAAAATTTGAAAAAGAAAAACATTTATTCAAAAGCTATTATTTCTTGATCTACTGACAAAGCCATTTAAAAAAAATACTATCGTTACCGTTTTACTCGACGAGGTATGCGGGAAAAAGTCTTCGTCGACCAAATCCTCTGACACTTCTCTTGCATTTGAAGGCAAATCTTGGAAAAAAATTAATATATCGTAGATATGTATATATAATATGTAGTACGTAGTATAAGGTATGGGGGTTGTCATAGGATATCCGTTGTGTATAAAATCTATATATAAACACCTATCCCTGCGATGCAAGATTGATTTTAATCTATTGGGTTGAAAATTCAGGTTGAGAAAGAAAATCGCTGTGATATTCATTCTAACTCAGGGTTTCTCAACTATAAATTCGGTTAGAGATATGTTGTAGCAAATGGCATCTGGTGTTACCGAATAATCGAGTAATTCATATAGATGGTTTACCTCTTTTATCATCTTCTCTGTTGTCATCTTCACGTTTTTCTATGTGAGACCTCTGATTTGGCTTGAAAAACATTGAATATAGTACATCGAATATAGTACGCAATGGTTTGCTATTGTAGAATATATATTTCAAAACAATTGCTACACATATACAGAACATTTAAAACTAATACACCCACCTCGTGTTCATAAACAAATTCGTCAATAGGAGTTGAAGTTGAGTCACTCCTTTTCAAAACTTGATTTCCTTTTTGTTGGTGAAATGGGATGTCTGGTTGATAAATCGTCTCTGAATTATATAAAAAGAGACGAAGGCTCAATTATATGAATGAAAAGCTGTACTATCAACGTAATTTGATACTATTTGCCGTGCTATCGCTAATAAATGAGAATTAATTGAATTGAATTATTTATCAAAATTAGGGCAAAACAATGAGTTGAGCGAGGCCAGGAAAAAATTAGAAAAAAAATCTCCAAAATAACGCCATCTTTATTTACTGATAATTGAAATCAAAAAGCATTGAGATAATTTGTCATCAGCAACGTGAATAGACATTCATCAAAATCATCCACAGGTCCACTTCGTGTCCATTTATGTTATGATCGCAACATAATTTATTTTAATTACCTTTTTTTCTAGTTATCGAATATAAAGTTCGCCCATATACTGGCGATCACTGTCTAAGAGCATAAAATCATAAGAATATTTTACACTGGACATATTATGGGATTCTCTCATAGAGCACAGAAAAAAGCTGTGTGTAAGCTATAGAATAAGTAATACAACGATAAATATTTCCACGAACCCCTGTCAAAGTTTCTTTTTGTAAATGTGGGATCAACGAGGGCAGTTTGATGAGATTGTTGAAATCCTCGACTTCTTGAAAGTGGGACGATTAAGATTAATCCAGCCTTTTGCATTTCTTGTAGTAACTGTTCACACCATCCTATAAAATAATTTTGTATTTAAATAGATACTCATCAGATACGATTTGATGTTATTGTATTCATATAGAAATATTCGTCGCATCGGTTGAATGCTGGGTCTCATCCCTCTACTGTCAGTGACTTCCCTAGCTAAACAAGAAAATTTTCATGGCGAAATTTGAGATCTGAGGAATTCACTGCCTTACGGTTATTTTTCAAATCATATTCAATTGAACAGCTTCAAATCTTACGCCAATCGGGATTCTCTGACGCAAAACACAATGCCATATGGTTCAAGTAGTTGTTGGCATTTCGTGGTTGTCTTTCGCACCCGCTGGTAAGTGAATGCACTTTACCTTTGATTGATCAAATTCTCAAAAATGTGTTAATATGGCTTTCAAATGGTGGAAACTAAAGTAGAGAGTTAACTTTTTGAAGACGAAATCGATCCGAAATTTCGAAAAAAGTACAAGCCCGAACACGAGACAACATAGAACGAATTTGCTGTCTAATTTGAGCGGAAACCAAGTCCTAAACATAAATGCTACAGAGGTAATGAGCATTAATCAGAAAATCAATTGTGGAAGCGCTTTTAAAACCAAAGCAACGCAAGACATTTCTTTCTGTGCTAATTTGATTTAAATCGAAATGTATTCAATATTAAATAACAATGAATCGACGAAAGCACGCCTACACGTAGTCCAACACACGTACAACATAGGTTTGAGTCAATGTATAGTTTTTAATGCAAGCACTTGGGAAAAGTATTATTCTACAAAACATAAATACATAGAAAATAATTCCTCACGTGGAACTCCATGACTTCTCTCAATAATCAATCTTTCAAGCTCTTGAGGAATTCTTTGAACTTTGAGAATCTGACATACCAGTGCTCCCATGTAATCATTGGGTAGACCACCAAGTTTGAGAAACATCGTCTTCGGATGGCATAGTATCTTTCGAAAACAGTATTCTAATTATATATATTTCTATGCTTTTAAATATATGACTGCTGACTGTTACAGTTTTCTAGAATAAGGATCACAACAAACACTAACTCTGACTTATTCAATGTGAGCGGTCATTGAACACGAATTCGAACCGTAGTGAGTCTTTTGCTCAAGTCGACACCAGGGTTCAAGGGTATAGGGTTGTTAGACGGTACTCCCGTAGTGTGTGTACCGGCATTACCAGTTTAGGGTTAGACCTAATTTTGTTCCGATTTATCTTGTTTAAGTTATATCACGAGTTCGGGGACTGTCTGTGTTAGTCAAGTGAATATACCCCCGCTCATAGGTTTCAGTCGCTTTACACAACTTGATGTAAAGTAGGCGAACAAAGTTAGTTACCTCCATATTGGTACGCATACTTCTGGAGCGCCGGTTAGACTATGCCTTATCCCTACAAATGAGGTAGATTATATGTCCATATTTCCATAAAATACTGTGCCCAAAAAAGGATTAAGTTCTTGATACCTACCTGCTTGGCGTGATCGCATGGTGGTTTATCCGGACTAAAAGGTCTCAATCCTAGAACACATAAAGCACGAGAATCTTTCGATAGAGTTGTGATAAATTTCCAAGATTCTTTATCGATATTTTGAGCATCATCTAGCGCGAACATAACGAATTGATTTCCGGCAACTTTGTGAACGATTTCTACGACCAGTTTATGCATCACACGAGTTCGCTCATCGGAGTTCATGCGTAATACCTAAAAGAAAGAGGCTTGATGAAATCTAAGTGCCAATACCACTCCACTCGAGCATAACTGGTTCAAAGATCCAAACTAGTTTAACAGCTTCCAAGGAGCACACTGAACCATACATACATCGTAGCATACCATTGGGAAATATCCATAGAACCTACACCGACTTTAGTTTAGGTTGCGAGCATTTGAAACATACTTTTCACAAAATATTCCTCTTTTCGTATGATATTGTAATTTTGCTATATTGCAGTAGAAAGAAATACTTATATATTAATACTAATATTAGATTAGGCCAATTGGATGTGAATGGCGATACATCCCATCATCATACATCCCATTACATAAATTAAATTATTGTGTATATAGTGACAAATTGATTTCGTTCAGTTGAAATAGGAGTGAACTATAATATAGATATTTATTCTTCAAGTTTGGGAATCTGTAGAGGGATACTTTTTCGTTCAATTTGATACACACATAAATATTTTACATACAATCATGCTGATATAGTATGTTATACCTCGTCTGAAGCTTGGAAGTCAACAGCTATGATATCATTGAGAACACACAGTAACGGTACATCAGTTGGATTTGTGGCACAAAGTAAAGCTTGTTCTCGTACTGTTTGGTCTGTGTAACCTTGTATACCAAGTAGTAACTCTATGAGTGTTTTCAGGGTAAAATATGGCATTTTTGCATCGTTGATTGAAAGAGGAAACGCAACGACCCGTACACCTTCTTTTAAAGCTCTCCACTGCAATGAAAAAGTATATATATTGTATATAATGACATTTTATGATGCTACTTTCTTGTGAAAAAAAAGAAGTCTTACCTGGATTTCTTCCATTACTCTGGATTTGCCATACCCAGCTTCTCCTTCGAAAACTATCACTCGGCGTTGTGACCCAAGCTTCTATAAAGCAAAGGATATACAATAAACAACTACAGAAAGTTCCCTGAAAAGTACATCGATGCAATTTTTCGTACACCCATGATAAGGAACGAATCGTTAAAAATGGTAAAAGGCATATTTCTTCTCCATAACATAGGTTGATTGAAATGTCAAACAATTTCCAGATATACATACTCGATTTGTCGTCAAATGCTTCAGTTCGTGCATGAATAAGTTGACTTCCTCTTCACGCCCTATCAAATAATACTCCGGCTCTATAAGAGATGTTTTACCGATGGGTTTTCTTGAACCTGAGATGGAAATCAATTTTTTTATAATAAATAATACAATAATCACTAGGTAATTAAAATTATAATGATCTTCCTGGTGTGATTTATTATTTTCGAAATAAGGTCCAAAATGCTTCCAGAACTCACTGAGAGATGGAATCAAATGTGAGATTGCAAGTCAGTACTATTTATAGGGCAGTAAAGTGAACATATCACGTTTATATGGTTGCACAATCATATATCGATTAACGGGATACTTAAAATTAAAAAGGTATTGTGAATTTCAAGTGTAGAAATCTCGAGAATCTCACATTCATCTCAACCACGAGTTGTTATCGAGTGGCCACTGAAAATAAGCATGGATGTTCTAATGCTACAATATCTGCATAGTTACCTAAAGCATCCATTGCTAGACAACTGGCTAAGACTTCTCTGCATATAGTATACAAATAGCAACATTATTTGCTTTAATGTGGCGAATCATTTCAACAACCAATTTAATTTATTACCTTCTGTATATTCATGAACGGTAACTTCTCCGCAACCCTTCATCGCTTTATATGGAAGTTTTGTAAACATATCTTTTGACAACTTGGAATCTTGAAATGTTTCGATATCACAAGATACAACACCAGGATAATGCATCATCAATCGGGCAGCTAAGTTTACCTAAACAAAATGGCTTGGTATATATATATATATATATATATTATATATAGTTGGGTAGAGATTTTCATAATTACACAAATTTATTTATTTGACGGTATTCAATCTTTAAAAAGCTAAATTTTTGGGACAAACATTATTACCCTGTTCAAAAAATTAATTAAACAAACATCACTCTCTCGCCGGTTTTAATCGGTTTTATTAGAAAGCAAGCCTTTATGTTCTAAAAACGGTAGAATGAATGAAGATCAATATTTAATGTCCAGTTCCCTTTGGTTTTCTGGCCCCTAGCATGGCTGATATTGTTGAACCGAAGACGAAAAGAACATTAATATTATTTGAAAAATTCATGGTTTATATCTTTGGTAAATAAATTTTAAAAATAAATCTAAATTTTGTATGTAGTTGTAAGAAATTTCCACAAATTTCCTCGAAATGCAGGAGGGACGCACAGAATGCGTTGGCGGGTAGCTTGCGGCTTGCGGGTCACAGTTTGCCCATCCTATAGGGCTAGGCTATTTGTGTAACCAGAAAGATGCCGGAACTTCCCAGAAAAATATGAGATACAGTTTACATTACGAACAGTTAATTTTTTTAATTTTAAATAAAACAGCGATAAATTCAACTACTAAATCGATCTATAGTAACCTATTCTTAATTTATTGAACCTTTTGTCCAATTACTGTATATTCGTGTCTTTCTTCATGTCCTATTACACCACAGAATACAGGACCTGTCGTAACTCCAATCGATACGAAACTGAGCGTGGGCAGTTGCTTCAGCTCCTATAAGATATAAGTACAGACGAAATGTGTTAGCATTTTAACTTTATTGCAGCATGTGCTGCTAGTGGATTTGGAAATATCTAATACATAAAAAACTTAATTTCATGTTTGTTATGCGCTTAAACGGATTTTTAGGTTTGTTTGCAGATTCTATGATTCTCAAAATGGTTACTGATCGAAGTTGCTATTTTCCCAATGCCATGTATCTATTGAAGAAAGCCATTGGACCACCGGAGTACGCGATACACTTAAAAGCAATATAAAAAGTAACCTTGCATATTTTGAAAGAAGCTTGCAATGCATTCGCAGGTTCTTCTTCGTGTTTATCTCCCGGTAGACCAAATATGACAAGAAATGTGCAGCCTTTGTCGAACATGAAAATCTTATTGAGAGAACCCTGAAACATACAAAAAAGTTTTATTCCCAAATGAGAATATCGCTTATATATATGGGATAAAAAAGTAATAAAAGCTGATACACTAATTTTTAAATATCGTACCTGCATATCGGAAGTACAATTGTACACAGTGTCAAAAGCTGCTTGCATGTTTTGACATTGTATGTCATGAAACCGGCGATCTCGCTCGTTGAGGTCAAAAGCCATGTTGATGAATGCAATCGAACATTGCCTCATTTCCGAGAGAAACTTCAATGGCTGATTGTCGTCGAGCTTTCGTTGGACGACATTGGTGACATACTTGCGCATTATTTCCTCCCTCTCGTGACTAGGTTTCAGCCGAAGTGCTATCCTGATAATACTTTTGTTGGTTGAAATAATCCGACTATTACCGTCGGGTAGATCGACATATTCGTGCCAATTTTTTCTAGGGTCGTGACGAAGATAACGAACAAGCCCGAATCTGCCACCCAATGGATCATAAATGATGTTGTCTCTCTCAGCCAGTTCTAACGCATTTGGTGACAAAACGACTAAACCCGCAGCACAATATTTTTCAGCAGCGTTGACTTCACCAACTGGGCGGCCAGCCATTACAAAATACCTAAAAGGCAATAAAATTTTGTATATAGCATATATAAGCATTGAAAACTAGGTTCAGACTGCTTATAACACTTTATTTATACGTTTCTGTTTGCACATACTTCCACCAGCATCCTTTTCAGACTACGTTTAGTTGGACGATGACAGACTTATGTAAAATGTTCGTTTAGTTACTGATTTCTCTATTACATCATACTGTTACTAGTAAAGCTTAAACAAACTACATTTTCTCACCTGCATGCTTCATTCCCCACAAATGTGGAATAAATCTTTCCAGCAGAAATTGCTATTTTCACTCTCAGCTTCACGCCTACGTCGGTCATCTGATTGTCACATTTTTCCTGAATGTTCAAGCTACATCTCACAGCTTGAGAAATGGCATAGCAGAGGTATCTTCTTTCTGTTACTTTCCAAACAGCTAAAATGGCGTCACCGGCAAATTTAAGAATATCCCCTCCTAACTGAAGAATGTTTTGCACGATTTTACCAATGTAAGCATTGAGAGTGACGGTAAGTGCGTCAGTCCCCTTTTCGCTAGACTGTGTATATTTCTCTGTTAGTGCAGTGAATCCAGAAACATCAGCAAAAAGTAAAACACCATCAAATTTATGTACGTGAGGAATCTTTCCAGGGGTCCTATCAAAAACGACCAGATCCGGCACGTGAGACACTAGTTTCCGTTCTGCATTGTTTTGAAAGGTGCCACTTTCGACGCCTACAACAGATGCTTTCCATTTTCCAGCCATGTGGCCTAAGCTAGTATCCGAAAGTTTTACATACTTTGGCCAATCTAAGCATTTCTATCAGCGACTAAACGGCGACATTCTGTGCTCAAAATGCTTTACCGAATCTACTACACAATAAATTCCCCGCCAAATAATTTTAGTGAACTACAATTACTAGCTTTATGACAAAACAATGCACCTGGTGAACGCGAACCAGCTGGAAAACATCTATGATGTAATAATATCAGACACAGCTGATAACCAAGATTATGTTTTGAAGATAAACTACCAAATGACACCAATCGGCGAGCACGGAATGGAGCCGTTGCCGGAAGGAATTTCTCTTGAAAGATTTCATGCAAATGAAGAAGTAGATGAGGCTCAGGTAAGAATTCAATTATACTATCCCATGTTTGTAATGATATTCAATCGCCAATTTGTGGCACGGCCGTATGGCCTGTGTTTAACTTCAAAATCGAACTGTGTAAAACTTCGGACGTTTTGCGATTCACTAATTCACTCTCGGAACAGCCTTTAGATTTCTTCCTCATTCTTCTGGCTATTCGAAACATCGGTTCTTCGAATTTGATAAATGATAGATATTGCCGGTACGGCAGTGGACAATTTTTACAGAAAAGTGGGGCTGATTGATATAGCAATGATTAACGGATCAAATATCAACCCCCTAGATATTCTTATGCAATCAGTTCAGCACTGAGAAAAAATGACATATTATATCTAGGTATACTAAAGTATTTATTACGTTATAAACTAATAATTGTTACAGAAAATTGCTCGAAAATCATCGTCTCTCTCTAGCAGCATTACAACATGTTCATCTCTTGGAAATTTCTGCAGAATATGCCATGAGAGCGACGAACCTCTGATAATCGCTTGCAAGTATGTTCTCAATTTTGAACCATGGGGAGTTTAAAATATATATAGTTTATTATCAATCTATACTGATTTAAGATACATTTTAGTGCTGTCAATCTCATTTTACTCTTGGTGGCTCGGATTGGCTGTGAAATTTAGTAATGCGTGGGGTAGGGTGTAACTTGACAAATAGCCAAGATTGATTAGGTGGGGTTGTAACGAGAGCTATAATTTGAAATTAAAGGCGACTACAGAAAAGACCTTTCAACTACTTATAAGAATGACTAAATTCTGCATTGGGTTGAGTCAAGATAATATGTCTTGACATTTGGCCCTACTTTACATCTTAGTACCATTTTAATCAAGGTAATTCATCTATGTTGTTGTGGTACGAAACATATGTTGGAAAATTATAAAGAATTTTATTGAAGATGAGTGAATGTATACTATTTGTTTACTCTGTTGTATTCTCTCCGTCGCTCTTGAATTTTTATTTATTCAGATGTAGAGGATCAATTGCGTTCACTCATCACAAATGCTTGGTAGAATGGCTTGTCAGATCTGGAAAACCTCAATGTGAACTGTGCGGAGAAGATTATCTTTTACGAGTCAAAAGCGCCCACGGATGGCTAACGGTTCGGGCTATGGAAATTTTAGGAAAAACTTTCATAGTTACATGAGCCTAAAATATCTAATAAGTTGGCCCAACCATATTGCTAAACAAGACCCAAACGGCAGTTAACAGTATGGGTGTACAAATATTTTCAAAATATAAATATGTAACCAGTTGGACGTATGCATGAAAGTGTTCGTTTGAAGAAAGGCGACAAGGAGAACCTCCAGAGTATGATGATAAACGGTGCTATATCGTATTTTCAGGCAGAAGTACGGTCCACCTCACTTGTGCTATAATGTTGTACGAAATCCTAATAAATTACTTATACAAACATATCAAACAAAACAAATAGACATAAGCAAATTGAATCTGGCGATACGAGAACTTTCTGTTAACATAACACCTCATTTTGAGAGTTAGATAAACAACCATTGGCACGACATGTCTGCCAAAGATTACGATACAAATTAAGTAACGACCAAATATCATTTAATATTTAACATTTGTACATCCTGATTTCTTATATTGGTAGGGTCGTTTATCCCGAGTATAGGTAACCAATAGTAATGGGTCGAGTGTTCGTCCCTGTCCTAGCATAGCTATACAAAAGTACACATATTCACTTTTGGGGCGATTTAATTAAATCAGCTACATCAAAAACCGATATTACCGGAAAATCAGGAAGACATAAGTTTAATGATCGATTTCTCATGTCCAAATTGATTATTATCGAGATAAAATTTGCTATATATATTCAAAATATAAATTATTTGACATTACCTCACTTTACGATTAAATTTACACATCAATCAATTGCAGATTCTCAAACAGCGGATGTCAAGTCACGATAAAGCTATGGTACTGGTTGGTTTAATATGCTCCATGTTTCTGGTTAGTACCACTACCTGGTTAATATGGTCAGCTTTGAGTCCAGAAAATGCCACACAGAGAGCTAACGAACTTTTTCAAACATGTTATGCACTATACGGATTCATGGATGTATTCTGTCTTGGTAAGTAGACATTTGCTGGGTTAATTACTTTACTTGATACTATGTGTTACGTTATAAGCAGTGGTGGGATTCAGCCGGTCCGCACCGGTTCTATAGAACCGTCTCACGGAATTTTATGAGACCAGCGAACCGGTTAGCATTACTGGTTACTGTCAATGGTCTGTTTGTAACAGAACCGGCTGAAAAATATGACTTTAGTGAAAGAACCGGCTGACAAAAAATTTGAATCCCCCCACTGGTTATAAGGCTCATTGGTTAATTATTACTTATCGATCTTAAGATCGGTAAGTATGTTGATAGGTATTTGTCTGTCTGTTTGCTTGTTAGATGAACGCGATATCTCAAGAAGGCGAGGTTGAATCTGCTCCAAATTTTGCATATGCATTCATCATATCTCGGACCAAAAGCCTATTGATTTTGGATGAATTATGTCATATAATTAGCGAGTTATTAATTAATTAGTGATGGGACACGCGGTGTCACTATAAGGTCATGAATCGGAACCGCAGTCGCAGCCGCGATCGATAAGTCTGCGGTCTCCGATCGATATTCTCATTTATATATTGTTGCTATTTCAATTGTCACAGGTATATTGATGCATGAAATACCACACTTGAGATTATTATGGAGACGTTTGAAACTTATCCGATATCAGCTTTATGTCTTGCCACATCCTAGCAGCAAAATAGGTACTTTGGCGGAAACGTCTACAAACACAGAAGAGATAACACTTCAGATGTCAGAGTATGTTCTTAATTCATTTTAGGTAGTGAGCTGTTAAATACGAGATAAGGTTACTTTGTTAGATTCATGTAAAAAGAATCATTTTATATGACTTTTCCCCATATTTTTAGTTCTGGCGACGAGTGTGATCTGGAAAGTACTACACCAAATCCAAAATCGGAAATTGTGAACGAACAGCCAAAGAATGATGACAAACATACTTTAGAAAATAATATGAATATTACAACAATAACGTAAAATTTATCAACTACTCATAATTGATTTACTATTTATTAATTTTCAGAATACTATACATAATATTATTTTATACGCCAAATTTCGCGGGTAGTAATGTAATAAATAAAATAATTCTATGAATTAACGCTCTCATTTTAAAGAACTGGGTTTATAGCAGCACATAGGTTTGAAATATTTTTTGTTGGAAACTCAAACTGCAATCACTGAATTTTTGCCCTTATACGATCGTATTATAACGGATTGTTGTTCTGAACATACGGAGGTTGGTCCTCCAAAACTACTAACACAATATTCTACACCGATTCTATTGCATGGCACTTTCAGTGGTGGCCGCAATTGTCGCTCATTGTCCTTAGTTTCTGAACGAGTGTGCGTGACTGACCATGCTTTGAGCAAATTTTTTAAAACCAAAAAGTCTGTACGAAGTCCCATATATGATAGGCAAAAGATAGTATTTCATTCAAGCTGACGATGAGGATAAAATGTATTCAAAAATATTGGGATATTACGACCCACAGTTAAATCTAAATGATGTTTTGATATTGGAATAGAAAAATCGAGCTTCCAAGTTATCACGCTCAGGGCTACCAACCACAACCGGACACTAGGACATCAGAATAAACCAACTGCTTCTGAAAATTCAAGAAGGCTGACGGCCGAACTGAACCTCAGTAAACAATGACTTGCTTTCAACAAAATTCGCCGCTCACCAAAGTTTCTCCCTGATTTAAACCTACCTCAATGTGCCACAAATATCTATATAGCTTGGAGATACAAAACAATAGAACTAGTTTTCGCATCAGAATAGATTCGTGTTTTTTAGTTGAACCCAAGTCAGTAATCAAATACAAAAGCATTTTTCTTTAGTTTATAATATCGAAAGTCAACAAAAAAATAACGACGGGTGGATCAAAACCAAAACAAAAGTGAAAAACTGAAAAATAGGAATAATAATTAGGAATAAGATAAGGATAATAATAACAAGTCAGGCCTAAAATACTATAAGGAATGGAACTCAAAAATACAAAGGCAAAAATCAAACAAACGAAATACGAGGCATGCTCGACACGGCATAATTCAACGATAAAATTATGACGACCGACACAAAAGTTGGGAGAAACAAAAAAAAAGGAAGTGAAACATTTCGGAACAGCGTAAGAAAAGGACCAGCCCCTGCCATCGCGGAACCAATTTGACTTTTGAGATGACAAGTCTTCTGTCCTGGTAAGCATTGAGACTGATTTAAAGTACGTATACAAGTCTGGAGGTGGGCATTGAATTATTCATGAACATGTCTGTGAAAGCAGACTCCATTCAAAAATTCATTGCAAATCGATTGACATGAACCTAAAAAATTTAAAATTTGTGTGCAATTTGTTGTGGCAATTGTAAGTCAGTATTGCCATATCAATCCGAGACAAGGATATACAAATATCACCGGTTCTTATATTATTGTTCAAGCGTTGGCGGTCGACATATTGTTACTACATCTAAAATGGTAATAAAAATACCAGAAATCAAAAAGGGTGCGGATAAAAGTGAAGTGAGAAGGCTTAATAAAAAAAAAGCCATAAAAATTGGATTTCGGAATTGATATACTATATTTCTATTTACAACAATATAAAAAGATTGGATATTGAGTAGACAATCACGCATACTTCTGTTTCATGTGACAATACATCGAATAGCAGATGACACCATATGAATAACAACAACACATGATTATCAGCTATAAATATCTAATTACTTAAATGGAATTTTCTATGTTAAGTCGTTACAGTAGATTACTACGTTTACATGTAATAATCCACATAGTAGGATTGAGAATAAAGCTAGTCATCCTCGCCCACAGTGAATATTTCATACTAAACAATCTGTAGATGGTGGCTTCTTTACATTAAGTATAACGTTGGCCATGGAAAAATCGTATTGACTATTACGTTAAGTACAGCATAGCAAAACAAACAAAAAATAGCACAAAAAAGACAGTGTCAGTCGATGGCCATTAGAACACGGTGTCGAATTTCAAAATGCAAATTTTTTTTATTTTTCATTAATTTCCGTATTACATTGTAAGGGTGGCCAACTGTGCTACGATTGAAATTGATCAACATATAATTTATACAGTGGCAAAAAATTGTTTTGATCATTTTTTGGTTTGTATCATTAGTGGAGTATTATGTTTACTAGGAAGCCAGAATTGAGCTTAATAGCGGCGGAATGATAATCATTATCATGTTTTTGTACTTGACTCCAGTATACAAATAAACGTATATAATTTGCCAAGTTAAAATTTTAATGCTGGGAATATAAAATTCCCAGCGTAACTTACAGACACGACGAATGCTGAATTTAACGCATTCTGTCAGTGCTTTGGCATTGAAATCGATAACATGCCGCTTCAGTCGATGCTAATTGAATAGAATAGAAATATTAGAATAACAAAGTCGGATTTGATCCAAAATATTTTGGCAAATCGTTGTTTTATAGTCATCAGATCCAGCATTTAGTACGATTAAAATTTGGTTTATGTGGTTACATTTGACCTCTTAAATCGGGTTAATGTAACTACGTGAAATTAAACTATTTCTTTAATCGGCTACTTGAATCTCAGTAGCGTTGGCGTCAGTCGTTGTGCAATAGTCAAATTTTCTACGTTTCAAAGACGGGTCTGTACTTCGGGGGACATCCGAAGTTGTCGCCGAAAATGCGGAACTAGGAGCTCGTGTGACGATGGGATCCACACTTGTTCCGCTTTTACTGAAACTGGTCAATAACCCACGAGGGACATGTACTGTAAGATTGAATTTTTTGGATGAGTGGTGGGATAAAACAGGCTGTTGTGCTTCATTTTGATGAGTTTGGGGGGTTAACCCCATAAGCGGAGTTTGCGGTGAATTGGAACACGACGACAACGTCAGACGTGTTAATGTCGGGGATGGTGTGGGGGTACGAGCATTTTCTAAATCATTCTTCGTTTTAGATGACAAATGGTGCAAAAGGGGTGTATCCAGGTGGAAATTTTCTTTGTCGCTTTCGCGTCTACCTGATGTATTTTCAGTGTTATCTGGTGATTTGGTATAAATCGCCGCCAAACTAGCATAAGGCAGTAAAGGGCAGCAAGTAGCCGGAAAGCAGCTCAAGTTCGTAGATTGTGCAACGTGGCTCTCTGTGATAGGTTGACTGGCAATATGGGTGGAATCGTCTTTGAGAGGCAAGATAGGTGCTTGATGAATTACATCAGCAAAATGAGTGTCGGTGACGCACGTACCGGGCATTTGCATATTATCAATACTACTATCACTGCCCGGTCGGCGTCTGCATTGTCCTAAAAAATCAAGCGTATTCGCGCTTTCGTCGCCCTTATTATTTGTAAGGATATCGTTTCTAGAGTTTGTTTCAACCTGGCAGGGTGTCTGCTTCTCTGGTTCTACACCCAGTTCGGAATTGCCTACTATATTGTCGTTGTAATCCACACCCGATTCTAGTGTAATCGTTGGTATGTCACTCTCGCTCAGATTCGACTGAGTACGTTCGTCGGATGATTTCATATCGTCCAAAGACTGACTGCTGCTGAGGCTAACCTCTTCTAATGTAGTGACGTCATCAGCAGTAGCGGATAAATCACTGGTAGTGCCGATACCGGAAGTGCAAGGGTCAGTAACAGCTTCGTATTCGGAAATAATTACTTCCGGTTTGTTAACAGCTTCGGCAGCAGATTCGTCATTCTTAATTTCAGTGAGAATCGGGTAAGCTGGTGCGTCTGTAATTTCTGACGGAGATTCGATACCAGAATCGCCGTTTGTAACCTTTGACCCGTCTTTTGTAAAAACTTCCTCGTCGCTTTGGGTTTCGTTGCCTCCATTTTCCAATCTCAAGGGTGTTTCTGGCGATGTTATTCCAGTGATCCATGGATGCGATATTGCATCTTTGGCGGTCATGCGGTCACTGTAGAAAAAAGTAAAATTTTAAACTCAAACTCATAGTAATAAAAGAAATATCGGGTCCAATAAGCATCAAAGAGTAAAGTTTCTTTCCACGTTTTATTATAAATGTAGACTAGCTTGACATGTATTGTATGCAACTAACTGAACGTTTGATGCATATTGTCCGTGCATTTTCATGATCTAAAATCTAAATCACACACAGACAAAGCTATTCAACCAACTTGAATGATTTCTGGCACACGCCTGCGACATGCGCGCTATACTCGTGACCGAATAAAAACAAACAGTTGAGTGTATGATTTGATGCAAAACACACATACCATGGCTGTCTCTGCAACATTTTCGTAATCAGATCTCGACACATTGGTGAGAGAGAGTCAAATAAATCGGGCGGAAATTCCAACATCGCTGTTGTTACGTTCATCAACGTTTCTTGTTTTGTGTCTCCCAAAAATGGCGAAACTCCAGTTAGCATTACATAGGTGACAACACCAAGTAACCTAAAAAATAATGCTATAATGTAAGTAACGATTAAAATGGAAGCATAATGAGCTAGACTGAAAATAAAAATAAAAAACTTACCAAATATCTGTGGAAGTGCTGATGGGTTCATAGTTCAAGACTTCAGGTGCTGGAATAAAAATAAAAATTACGTTAAACACAGACAAATAAGTATTTCAAATTGATATTAGGCAATCAGCATCTTCGTTGCCCAAATGGTCCTTAAAGCAAAAACATTTCAAATTATCCATAATATTGTAAGATATAGCCTACTGAGTTTTTTTTGTATGACGTACTTCCTACAAAAAGCCAGATAATAATAATAAACCGATGTCCTAGTTTACGATAGCCTATTCGTCCATGAATATGATGAGTGTAAACTATATATGATATAATATGCTGCATTTCTAATAATATGACCAGATAAACTACAGGTACCTCAATCGCCAAGAATGTTTTCTTGGCAAAATGCTTCATTATTAATAATTGAGATATATAAATAAACTTTTGTCATCTCTTACCAACATAATCTGGTGTCCCCAAAATCTCTCGAACTTCTAGTCCATGACAGATATATTTCGACAATCCGAAATCGACTAATTTAATATCAGTTTCAGGATGCGTCCCTTCCTTAGTGAGGAGTATGTTTTGAGGCTAAAAATATGGAAAAGAAAAATTAAATTTACCTTTGGTCTTTGTGATCCGATTGTTAAAAGAGAGTAAGGAGATACTTATTGGTGTAAAATAACTATAAAACCTATATCTTACCTTCAAATCTAAGTGCACAATATCATTGTCATGTAAAAATGTCACTCCATCTAAAATCTGCATCATAAGTCTTCTTGAAGCAGCTTCTGTGAACTGGTCTTTCACACCAACACAGTGATCAAATATTTCGCCTCCTGCAGCACTATAAAAAGCAAAAATTTGAAGTTAGCAAACAGTGAAATATTCCATAACAAAGAAACAGAGAATAGGAATTTTTAGCACCTTCCAAATTATCTTACCAGACCCAGAAAATAGGTATCGTTTCAGAATGGTGCAGCGGTTCCCAATCGGGAGCTCCTACAGAGCAGTTAAAGGGGGGCAATGCTAGGTACAAAACTGATTTTGAACACTTGACAAAAACTCCCCTGCTTGATAAGGTTATTTCACAGGATGTTTTCACTTTGTAGGGCATGAATTGTTTGAACATAATGGGATTTGGAATCTACCAATCAAAATAACACAATAAATACTACTGGAGTGATAAACAGGGGGCCACGAGCTATAAAAGATGGGACCACCGGAATAGAGTATTGTCAAAAAAAGAAGGAAAGTATAGAATGAAAAATGTTTTCAAAATATTTAAGCAGTGCTGGAAACTTACTATTCTAAGATGAGGACAACTTCTGATGTTGTTTCATATACTCTGTGCAAGTTGATGAGATACGGATGTTTTGTGCTCATTTCAAGCACTGCAATTTCGTGAAAAATGTCAGGTGAGCAATCCCGGTTGTGACGTCGTTTCCTGATGCACTTGGCGGCAAATTGCTGACCGGTCGATTTCTCAATGCACTTCTTGACGACTGCAAATTTCCCCCTAAAAGTTGAAAAATGACAATTTGAATTTGTAAGGCCATTATTCAACATTGGTAGGAGTCAAATTCATAACAAACGAAACATCAGCGAACACAAAATATCCATTTACACTTTCCTAGTACAATTTATAAAACCTCATGCAGGCTTTTCCATACAATTTACTTCCAAAGCCTGCATGCCAATTTATTCTGAGTAATTACCACAGTCATTGCACTGCGGTATTGGTCATTTATTCTTTGGAGTATGAAATAATGTTTCCTGACGTGGCGCACCACAACATCCTTCCGTTCTATACATGTGTATCATTCATGTCACTCGTGTAGGTTTTGGCCTGAGTTTATAAATGGCTTGGTTCTATGCAGGGAACACAGTAGTCAAACAGAAATTAATATGTATTTATCCCAAATAAAACATAGGTTAAAGGGACGTACGTTTGAAAATTGAAGTTATTCATTGGGCATATAGTTGGTACACCAGCATGTATTAAAAAAGCGATTTACCACGAAAAAGGTAAACATAAACAATGCTGATGTCATTCAATTTATTAGGAAATGATATGAACTCAGCGCCATCCAGTGCATGATTACCGGAAAACATGCTTAGTTAACAATTCGGCGAAAAGCCAACCCTTACGCGCTTCCGCCGTCTGCACTTTTTGTAAGTATTATTGAATTGGTCATTTTTGTTGGGTGCTGGTTTATAAGGTCATCTTATAAGACAAAATTGGTCTAGGATTAATCACACGTAACTAGGGTTAACAGCTTTCTCGACCAACCAAAGCAGTGGAATACTCATATACCGTTCATTGCTAAGAGGACGTGATCCTTATATACGACAAAGCAGACTTCGACGTTTATTAACATATTAAAAAGATTAAAAGATTCAAAAAAGGTTGACAACTATCGATGTGATAAGAAATAATTGGCAAGAAAATTTTAAGCATACCGACAAATTGGATTTACTTTTACGAATTCCCTGTATTATTCAGCGTAATAAAATTGCCACAAATCAAAACATCGGAGCAAAGTAGTACCGGTTGTCGACAAAAATACTTACCGGTACATTTTACGTCATCAAAAATTTTGAGGTGAATTTTAATGAGTGAATTAGATTTTTGACGCAGAAAAAGAAATAATACGTGTACAATCCTGCATTATATTAAACAACTGCAGGATAAGTCGCGATAAGAAAACAATAAACACTTATAACAACTTATGAAAGTCTAATACTGGAAATATACAATTCATGTATGGTCGAATATACACTACTTATATATATGTGAAAACTGGAATAATTTGAAATAAAATCAAGGGTATGACGTCAAATCCCATGTTGAGAGGGTGCGTAAAAGTAATCGAAATTCCAACCGACTTGTAAGTGTGGTTTATTAAGGTAGACGTCGTGGTCACAACAAGCAATTTGCTATTCATATGAAACACTTGAAATTCCGGTTTTCGAGAGCTTGGGAATTGAACTTTTATAACAATATGGCACACAAAATAAAATTAGAAAAAGCTGGCTAAGACTTTACACTTGCTTTTAATATATTATAATAAAGTTGAAATAACAGTATTGGCTTTCGAATCGCGATGCTTGCTGTGCGCGGACTTCCTTCGTGACTACATTACAAATCTAATAATAATTGATAAAAAATTTGCATTTTAAAAATTAAAGTTCAAATGTACTTAATGTAATATTAAAAATATTAACGAAGGCCATATTTTAAATTTCTGCGTAAATTATGCGTCAAGTGGTGACGTCGCGGCGCCGACGTCACGAGTCGGACGTCCGGGACGTAATTTTGTTAACATTCCGGCAATTACTGAAAATATGAACAGCGTGATATGTCAGTACATACACTAAATTCTTAAATCTTTTAAAGTCTTCCATACAAAAATGGCAACTTCACAAAACGCTGATATCGTAAAATAGAGATCAAATCGGGTCGAGACGAAAATGGTAACACGAAACGCATATTATGAAATCCACATTTCGTTGGTGCCAACTATTTATAACACAGTCTTAAAATAAACCAAGATTATGAGGTATATGAAAAGGTAAATTTTCAAGTATATTTGAATAGGCGGAAAATAAAACGTTACCACATGGATCACGGGAATAAGACGAACAATGTCGGTTTTATCTTGAATTCTATATTTAATTTGAAAACGAAAATTAAAGTGAATTCCCCTAAAATAAAAAGCGAAAGATGTTACTTTACATACAAGCTGTTAACTCTACTAGTTATAAAATTTGCGGAATTGAAATCATGGTTCAGATACTTTGGTAAATGAATCCACGCAAAATTTAAACAAATGTGATATTGAACATCATCCTCTCTCATCTCCAGTTGAGTCACCAAGAAATAGCACTGTTACATACAATGTTTGATGACATTTTGCAGTCATATGGCAACAATGCCACGGTAAGTGTGGAATTCCTTGAATACATAGACCATCCTAATATTTTACGTAAGTATTTAGCAAGTAAATATTCATTACGTAGACGATGAGGTATTACATCTGTTCTCATGGATCGGATTTCGAAACTATAGAATAGACATCTGGTTAAAAATATTGTGGGATATAAATAGAGCAAGCAGGTACCAGCTATGGAGAAACCCCAAGACGGATGACGAAATACCTCAAAGTGGAAAATTGGACACATGGTTCATGCGGTGACCGTACATTTGAACCCATGCGTATATCCAAGGGTTCAATCTATATGCGGGTGCTAAAACCCATGGGTTAGGGTTAGTATGGGTTTAACTATCCGTGAATCAAAAAAAATTCCATAGGTGCAATAGCATACAGGTGCAATTGTCATGGGTTCAAATGTACGTGGGTTCAAATCAGGGCTGGGGAGCTGGTTCGAAATCATGATGGCTCCGGCTCCAGCTCCGGAGTCGCAGTGTATTCATTCTTTAGCTCCAACTCCGGCTCCGGAGCTTCATTTTTTTATGCCGGAGCTGGCTCCAGCTCCGGCTCCATAGCCATTATCAGTAGTGCAGCCCAATAACGCATTTTGCTAATTGTTTTCTAAGTGTGGCATGTTATTTAGGCTGTAAACACCCTTCAAGTCGGTGTCATGATAATTCCTTTTTGTTCCTGCATGTAACTTGTGAATCAACTGAGAGTTATTATATGCTGTTTTTCCGGGCGAATCGGTCTACCCAGCATATAAGGGTTTTACATATAACCCCACAATAGGACGGGAAGGAAAATCGGCTTCTGGAATGGTCGCAGCGTTTGCGCATTCGGTAAAATAGCTCATAATGACTTTTTCTACCACATAATATTTAACCCATAATAACTGTCTTTTTAATTTAATTGTGTTCAACATAACTGGCAATCATGCCGGTCAAATAAAATCTGTCGTGGGCCATTCTAAAGCAAAACTTGGTGCTTGGAAAAATAAACACTGAAATAAAAGATGTTATGGCCTAATGTTTATGGCGACGAAAACAATTGACGCTTTTCACGAAATGCAACACACATGTGATAGTAACGGCAATAGCCTTTCAACTCATGATAATTTAAACTGGCCTGACGGGGAGGCAGTATTTTATGGTACAAATTGAATAAGCAGACCCAAAATAATGGAAATTACCATCGTCACCCAATTAGATGCCGTTCCCCTCTCCCAAATCAGGCCAAAAGTTGTTTCTAGAATCGAGGCGTTTTCATAATTATCAGCGATGAGATGTTAAAGATAAATAGAAAAGTCAATTCGCAAGCCGAATTTCCACATTGGAGAGCTATTATAAGATACTAAAATGAAACGGAAAACACTATAAACTTTGTTCTAGGAGACTCCCAACAGCTAAAAAAAATGCCTTGTTAATCTCATTTTTTTTTTTGCCTACGACATATTATTTACCGGTTGACTTTGAAAATTATACAGTCACTAAAATAAATCTAAACGCAATCAATCTTACTCGCGATATACTTTTTATATATTCAAAAAATAGTAACGAAAATTGATGAGACTTTTCTCCAGAACATGCTATGTTATGGATCAAAACAAGATATAATGGGGCACTTTGCCATACATTTTTATGATAGGTGACTGCTGCGGTGCATTTTGGAGTAGTTAAAACCTTTCTTTTGTCGTAAAACGACTCAATCTCGAGATAGTTGAACAGAATTGAAGACATTTGAAATGGATTGGATATTCAACGCCACGAAAAAATCATAATATGTTACATGGAAATTCCAAAATCACTTCTTCGAAAATCCCTGGCCATTAGGGTTTTTGAGCTTGACCGCAATCATGAAAAATTGCAGCTTGGTGGAAATGAGAATCAAAATTTTGATAAAAGCGAACCGCTTCAAATTTTGATACTAAACTTTCAAACATACAGAATAACTGACAACTTTCTAAAAAATATCAGGAACTAAAATTTTTAAAATGAATTATAAGCTGAAAAGAAAAGATTTTATCATTTGTAATGCTATCAGAAAAAAATTAGAAATTTGAAAAACAAAAAATGAGATATTTAGGAGCTGGAGCCTGGAGCCACTAAATTTTTGGTAGCTCCAGCTCCGGCTCCAGCTCCATCTGTTATGAAAAGCTTGGCTCCAACTCCGACTCCGGCTCCATCAAAATGTAACGGCTCCATGGCTCCAGACTCCGACTCCAGCTCCGGCTCCCCAGCCCTGGTTCAAATGTAATGGAACCGGTTCATGCAGATACAATCCATATGTAGCAATTAATGCACAAATTGTAATAAGCAAGTCGTTGGAATTCTACCAGTCTGGTGGTAGAGACCACTCGCTAACAGTCCATGTGGTTTTAATTGAGAAAATGAGTCAGTAAAAGATGTTTTTCAACTTTCATGTGTTCACCGTGGGTACAGATGTTCTCCTACAAACCACACACCCGCTATGTCCATAAAACGATATTTTTGACACTTATCCGGTTATATCCAGTTGTTCAGTTTTGAATTTGGGTACGGGCTATGCCATATGATCCTCCGGTTATTACTTGAAAGTTTGAAAA